ACTCCCCAATCTCTTTGAAACCATCCCTTATTGTTCCACCAGGCTTCAAAAAGTTTTTAGAATCATCCTTTCTTACATTAATACAGATCTTAACACCGTTCAAATCCTCTTTCTCCTTTTCTTTTACTGGCATGCAAGATTTTTCCTCCAACCTGAAAATTGTCCTTACAAACTCCTGTCCCCCAATAAAGGATAAACCCAACAATTTGCTCACTTCACCTTTTCATTTACCACCATCTCCAAATCAATAGATCTTCCGGTTTCATGGGTTTCATCAATGATAATTTCCCCCTCATTTGAATTCAAATCTTCATCATCTTCAGCTTCTTACACCCTTTTTTCTGGCATTGGTTTGGTTCTATACCTTCTTTTCCTTCTAAAGACTTTTGAACAATAGGCCTCCCCAACAAATTGTTTTTCTACCTGCCTCATCAACCTTACCCTCAAACCAATTTTCCTTTCCTCCCCCATCTCCATCATCTCCAAAGTTCCCCTTCAAACCCCCACGATCACCTCCTTGTCTGGTTCCTTCTCCACCTAAATCATTCCTGGATTTACCACTTTAATCATCCTCCTTTCACTATAATCAAACCCCTTTCTTTTCCTCCTCCTTCCACCCCTTTTTGGATCTTCCTTTCCTTCTTCCTGAAATCTAACTCCTTTCTTTCTTCTTAATATCCTTCTTTGACTGAACTCTAACCTTTGAGATCACCTCCAAAAAATTGTCAATTAAAGGCACTGCCATGTCGCTAGTAGTTCCTGCAATGGTACTCCCCACCAGCCATGTTAAAGTCTACTGATTCTTTATCCATACCCAATGTCACATGCCTCCTTGAGTTACCCCACCCTCCTTGCAAATTGGGCCTAATAACATGAGATGGCCCACCTGTTTCAAACCCTGAGTTCTTGCCCAAACTTAGGCCCATCCCCATATCCCAATAAATTGTTACGTGGGATAGATCTGCTTGAATCAACTCCAGCCTTCGACTGAGCTTCTTCATTAGAAAGTAGGGATGGCAACGGGGCGGGTTTGGGGAGGGTTTTATAAATTCTAGACCCTATCTGCCTCCCTAAACCTCCTATTCCATACCTGCTCCAGAACCTGTAGCGGGTTGGATTTTGAGAATCCAAACCCTCCCTGTACATGAAAATGTAAAACCCTCCCTGCATTCAAGGGTAGGGGTGGTTGGGTTTAGAACCCACATCTAATTTCCTATTATTCCTTGTCATGCATAAGCAATAAATATGTAAAATAACACAAATAAACAACAAAATTTCCAATTATTTGATTAAGACGTGTAGAAAACACATAAACTATCAATTATCCTTAACATAAAATTCAAAATATTATTAAATTCAACACCTAGTACATAAAGTTTATATGCTTTCCAACAATATGCGGGTCGGGGAGGTTGGGTTTAGCCTAATACTGTACCCTACATGTACCTGTACGGGTTGTAGAATCCCAAAACCCCTCCCCACCCCAAAACCCGCCCCGTCGGGGAGGGTTGGGATGGGTACCCACCGGGTAGGGTAGAAATTGCCATCCAACACGTGGCTGTTTGCACCCTTAAGCAGTGGTAGGTTTTCTTAAAATATCTTGCCCCGAAATAGACAAAAGCACATGTCCTACGATCTTTGTGCACATGCTACCACTTGTCAAACTTGGTTCAGAACTTTCTTTTACCAGCATCTGTGCATAGGAAATGCCATTTGCCGACCTCTCACTACTTCAAGGATAATCATTTAAGGTATTTTGCAGCATGTCTTTTCCTTTACCTACAGATCACATGCAACTAATTTTAAGTTAACCCTGCTTCATTTGAAGGAACCAATCTGATGTTGCCATGCCTGTTCAACCCTTTTGTCTTCCTCCCTGTGACCTTCTCTCCATAGAGAGGTTTCAGTGGAGGTTGCCAGTTACACGTTGATACACACCCCAAGCACCATCAACTTGATTTTCCTTGGAATACACTCAGGCTTCAACTCTTCCAAATGGCCACCACAAACAGAGGCGATCAGAATAAAAAGTTTCTTGTTGCCAAAGATGGAAAGATAGTCCAAGAACCTTATTGATCACCCATTCTCAAAGTGAAACTGTTTCACGTTAGAAAGGATGCATCATTTTGAGATCAGAAGATGACCAACATGAGTTCAAACTATTGCAGCTTCAACCTTCTGAGAAGAATCAAGCAAGTCAAGAAGGGCTTTTTTTTTCTTCTCAAAAGGGCTGATCATTAACGAACCTTTTAATTTGAAATGCCTACTGATGGCTGGCTGCAATTTCTTTGCAATCTTTCACTTCAAACATGGTCAAAACCACCAGCCTGTTCTCCCATATCTCTTTGTCCTGGTTAAACACCATTTTGACAACTCCACCAAAATCCACCACAGTAGCTTTCTCCCCTTTACCAGTCAATCCCACAGAAAGGTTCTCTTCTTTTTTTTCTCTTGAACAACCTCAGATGTCAGTTGAAACGTCTTTGGCTCCTTCAAGAACCCTTGGATTTTCAACAAGAATCCTTCCCAACCTGCATTCCTCCTTCGCTCTGGAATACAACACAATTGTTTTCCCTTCTCCCAAAAAATTCAATCAACATTATAAATCTGCCTTTCCTGTTCTCCTTACATTCAATCACTTTCTCTTATACCCTTCCCAGGTAGTTCTTTCCATAAAACGTGGGGAAAGTGTTGACCATTTATTACTATCCTGTTTCTATTCTTCGAAGGTATGGGTTCATTTCTTTCACCTCTTTGGATTGAATTGACCCCACCTACAAGCATTATGCAGATGAAAGGGTTGCAAGAATCTTTGAAAATAAGGCTAAAGATGAAGTTGCCACAATAGAGCATGGCAGACAGCTCATTTGGTGTTGACATAAAAAGAAGGGTTATTTACTAAAACATCCCTTATAGTTTCACGAATTTACTTAAACCTATCCTATAGTTTTTTTTACTAAAACACCCCTTATAGTTTGCAACCTATTTACTTAATCGACCTTTTTCTTTTGAGAAAAGTGACCTTTCATTAAGAACTATATATTTTGCCATCTGAAAATGGTAACATGATCACCTAAACTAAGTAGAAAATGTTCAAGGGCATGGACCCATGGTTGTGTAGTCCAAAAGTAACACCAAACTAAGTGGAAAATGTTCAAGGGCATGGATCCAGGGTTGTTTATTCAAAAAGTACCCCTAACAATTTTTGTATAGAAAACAAATTGACCAAATAGAGCAAAATAGAGTGGTTGTTCGTGTCTTACTAGGGGAAAATGATATTTTTATTTTTAATTTCTTTTGATTAAATTTATTTGAATGGATGCTAGGGTTAAAACTGTCATTTTCCACTTTCATCTAATGGAAGGCTGATTAAGTAAATTGATTGCAAACTATAGGGGATGTTTTAGTAAAACCCAAACTATAAGGGGTGTTTTAGTAAGTAACCCTAAAAAGAATTTAAACTTTTAAATTTCTATCAATGAACTCCTATGGGGATGGACTGCCATGGCAAATTTTGTCCAATGAAAATCTTCTGTTACAGATTAAAACTAAATTGTGATGGATGCTATCTTGTCAATCTTGGTCCATCAGGAATAGGGGATGAAGTGAGAGATCACAATAGCAATATCCATATGAGCTTCACAAGACCGATTGGGGTTGGTAATTCTTTGAGAGCTGAGATCCATGCATTTACTTTTAAGATCTAAAAGTAGCTCACTCACTGGGGTGATCAAACCTGATTGTTGAAGGGGATTGCCGAATGGTGCTGATTTAGATTGAAAAGGAAAATGAAGATCCCTGGGCACACCATCAGGAGATTAGAGAAGCCTTGGTTGGCATCCTATTGGAATTGCTTGTTCAAGTGGACCTCAATCAGCTAATGCTTTAGTTGATGCTCTTGCAAGAGATGGAGTATTGAGGAACCATATTTTTTGAGGAATACCAGGGCTGGGGCTTGATGTGCTTCCAGCATAGTGGTGTATATATTGTTTCTCTTTTGCCAGCTTTAAGCTTTTTGTACTGTCTTCTCTCCATCCTTTTTTTAATTAATAACACAATTCAAGGTTATTGAAAAAAGACTTTATGGGTCGGTGAGTCAATCTCTTTACTCGGTGGTTACTGCTAGTGGTGGTGGTGGAATGATGCGGTTTGTCATCCATCAGACAGTGAACTTCAGTTTCTCATTATCCTCATCAGTCTTATGTTGGTAAAAGCTTCTATACTGTCTATTAAATGGGGACCTTGTAGGTTAGTTTATATATTAATCTGGACTCTGCCATTTCATGATCCTCTTCTTGTATAAGATACCCAAATACTGATGCAGGCATAAAATGCTGTTACCCAATGTCTGTCCTAACCATCTGGGGGACAGGATATGGACCTACCCATTGGCATTTTATTTTCATACAAGTGCTGAACTGCTGATACAGGCACGGACACAGTTAATAGGAAGCAAGTATACAACTCTCTGTTTCTTGATATCCAGGATGTGTATCTGGATGTGATTATCCTATGTAATGTGCTTATACTGTGCTTTTGTGCAAATTAAGCTCTCACTTCAAATATTTATATCTTGCCAAATTTAATTGAACTTTTTACATACACAGTTTTTTCATGATATAATTTCCATTTATACTAGTTAGAAGTTCTTGTTAGATGCTTCAGAATAATATCCAATTTCATTTTGGATACATTTTGAATCATATTGTATTTGTGCCTTTGCAAGAAGTAGATGGCCTTTTTCTTTTGGGGTCTCAGAGTGTCTTCATTTATTTCCAGTATTATTTATGATCTGAATCTGATATAGAGTTGGCATAGGAGGCATGGCTTGTTTTATATTTATATTATTAGTACAGAGACTTCATTTCATAGCCACCTTTATAACTGTCCATTTTGGGTTTTTTCTCCTTTTCTTTCTTCATTAGGTGGAGTTTTTATCCTTGATACAAACAAATATTATTAATGTCACTGCCAATTGCCAACTTCGTCTTGTTTTGCAGCATTCAGAGGGATTACAGAAAAGCAAGTGCCAAGATTATGATCATACTGAAGCGACACATGAAAGTGAAGCAGATGACCACTATTTGGATAAAATGGAATTTCATGGAAGTGCCAATGGAGAAGATATTATGGGTAACAGGCCTGATATTTCACCTGCCACTACTGAAAATGTTCATTCAGTTCCAGCATTGCTCCCTGAAGGGTCAATGCTAGTAAATTTAGCGAAGGGCGGTGATTCAACACAAGTAGGCCAAACTTGTCCAACCAAATTTATGAATTCCATGGAACAACCGAATAGAAGTTCTTCTGTAGACTTGAAGGAAAATAAACCATCAAGATTTGAGGCAGCAGCAGCAGAAGCGGAGCTTGATATGCTTCTCGACTCATTTGGTGAAACAAAGCTTTTTTATTCTGGTTTTCCTGTTGTCAAACAGGAACCTTCTCATGTGTCCTCACAGCAACAGGTTTCTGGTTTTCCACAGCCTTCAGTCCAAGCCCCAGATGCATCTAAAAATGCATCCGGTGCCTTTGACCTAGACAATGCGATTGATGAACTACGAGAAACATCAAATCCCACTAACCAAAACAATGCCATGCGAGACCAACAGGAAAAGGCAGTTCGACGGAATCCTCCATCAGACTCATCTTTGGCTTCTGCTCATAAATCTAGTGTATTGGACGATTTTGATTCATGGCTGGAAACGATTTAAAGTTCTCTGAACTTGAATTATATGACCCTAGGCTATTATAACTGAGAACTTGATTTGCCATCTTATGATTTGAACAGGATAAAAGTTAAAACGGAGCTTCTCTCCTATGCGAGGATGACATGAAGAGGTGCAGTTGGTTGATGAGTATCAGCAACTCACCGAGAGGATGGCCTACCGTATTTCTAGTTGTCACCTCTGATACCCTTTCTGTGGAACAGTTGGTCACACGTCACGTTGAAACTTGCTGTTGCTGTTGTCCCCTCCCACACCGAGCATTTATTTAGAATTTAGAATGAAGCCTCAGGCAATGTTTCATTCTAATACAGGAGAAATATCCATGGAGTGTGAAACTTCCAAGCAAGCTCGGATTCGATTTGATTTAGATTATTGTGGGGACAGGACAGATGCCCATTGACGTCAGGGTTTTCAGCTTCCCGGTTTTTTCACTAACTTGAGCAACGAATTTGGGTTGTCTGGACTCTGGAGAAAACAAATCATTTTGTTTTTTATCCTACCACCAAAAAAAATATCTATTTGGTCAAACTAAGCCATAAAGTGCATGCGGCCACAACCACTCAAATCTCTCACTTGTGGCTGGTGTGGAACACGATTGGTGCACAGCACTACAGCAGTAAAGTAGCTATCAAATTTAGCTAAACCAATCTAATACAACACAAATGACATGTCGGCATCTCTTCCATATAATGTGCTTTCCTTTTTTGGATATTATCGATAATTCATCATGCTTATCTTTTGCATTTATCTTAAATTCATAATGACTTTTTAAAACCTGTGGAGAGCCCTCTGTCAATGACTTTTATTGTTCAAAACTCACCTTCCCTTGGATCACCATCACTAGAAATCCGTATGTAAATATTTTCCATGACCAAACCAAGGACATTGATACACCTGATACTACCGGCGTATCAAGATGTATTGGTAGCTGTTTTTTTATTTATTTTTTTTTTCAAATCTGGTTCAGAGGGGTCGGTTTAAGGTCTATTCACCCCCTGAATCAGTTGTGACCCCGAAATACCCTGTAAAGGTGTATCGGGAAGCCCCCAATATGATGCATATTGGTTGATATGGCCTGATACGTATAGATATTTTGAACCTTGTACCAAACTACTCTTAAATGATCAGTCAACCTTATTTCATATTTTTATTACAAAATTACCCATGCCTACTATAGGCCTGGTTTGGGCTTGGGTTCAAGTAAGAGGTAATTTTATCATAAAAAGTATTTAATAAGCTTGATTAGTCATTCAGTAATTGTTTGGTCATGTAAAATACTCAAATACTTGTATGGACAACATCTGTTAATAATCACTAATAATGAACCAATGGACATCTAACAGAAAGTGAGTTACTGTTATTGATAAAAGAAAAATCTAACAGAAAGTGAGTTTTGCACAATAAAAACTCAAGGGGCTCTCTTGGAGGTTTTGAAAAGTCATGGTGAGCTTAAGAGATTAAAAACAAAATCATGATAAATTTTAGATAATATCCCCTTTTATTGAGAAGGAATATTTCTATTACTTCATGTGTCAGAAAATGCCAAAATGGTTATTCCTGAGAAAAACGTTACTTCTTTTATCAAACACCGTCTTGGGTGTCAAGTGGACGGCTTTTGTGTGCCGTTTTAGGCCGGTCATTATAGAGGTGTGAATGCTGTTGCTAAGGTGGGGTGTCTTCACTCAGCTTTCCCTAGGATTTATTTCCTGTGAGCGCAAAATTAGAAGTTTAAAACCTCGTGACATGGCCATTTTATGAACCATGAGTTTGTGAATTGTGATCTGCAAAAATGGCAAAAAATGCAAAAAAAAAAAAAGAAGCCTTCATCTACCTTTCACTCGTTCCCAAAGTGACCTGCCGACGGTGGTATCTTCTTTTTCACGACAGCTGCAGATATGAGCAACGAATGTAGTTGGGCCCAAATGAAATTTATTAATATTTTGTCTCGTAGAAATGGCAGCTCATCTCATTGCTTGAAATGACCCACAAATATTCAGTGACAACTAACAAGAAAAAGATATCAAGACATTGCCCAAAAATATATATAAAAAATAGAGATCATCTAATATTAAAATGCACACAGCAAATGCCCATTAATTTAGGTGTGAGTTGATTGAACTGTTGAAGAAATAAAGTCCTTAAGACTGGATATAAAGTTATAAACCAAACACCCAACTGGGTCTTCTTCATCTCCTCTAAATCTTCTCATGCGTGCCACAAATTAAGTGCCGAGTCCCGCCACCAGAATCAGACGAAATTGACCACATCCATTAGTATGCTGAGTGTGTTACAGAGTTCTGTTCTGGCCACATGCTTGCCCACGGGGACCCTTTGGAATAAGAAACTTGAGACCAGTAATATATGTAAATTGATTTATAGCTCTTACTTTAAATTTTAGGTGAGAATTAACAAGTTATTCAGGTAAGCAAGAGAGTTAAAGGAATCTTTTGATTGGGTAGTTTAATTGGAGGGAGATTTCTCTTACTTCTTCTGTCATCCCTTACATATACGACAGTTAAAGACGGCTTGAGATATACCTAATCTTATCCGGTCACAAACAACGCGGATTTCTTCTATGCAAAATTTTATGAGGGCATGTTCAAAGATTACAAAAATTAGGGTCATAAGGTGGTCCAAACAACAAACAACAAAGGTAGAGCTTGGCGTTTATGAAATTAATTCAGAACAAGTTGCACTCTCACAGGCTCAAATTAAGCCTCTGTTTGGTATCACACTACCACTTAGTTTAAGTATTTATTTCACTTAATACTTAAAATAAGTGGCAAATAAGCATTTATCCATATTTGATCAAAAAGAAGCAAATAAATGCTTATTTTCAAAATAAGTAATTAAAAAAAGCAATCCATGAAATAAGAACTTATTCCATTTTTTGGGGCAACACTATCCCCCTCATTTTTCTCAGAATCCCATTGAGCGTCTTTGGTCTTCTCAATTTGAGCACTAACAAAAACTAGTGGCAGGCAACTCTAAGTTAAGAAATTGTTCCAGCAGGTACATGAACCTCCTTTCTTTTTCTCCATTTTTTGCTCTATTTTGGGCAATTCTTGATGGCTAAAATTGCCATTTTTGAAAATATAAATACTTATTGGTTAAGCAGTTCAGCAAAACCGTAACCCAAATAATTACTTAAAATAAGTGTAAGTGGTTTGGGAAAGAACCTCTCAAACACTACTGAGTACTTATTCAAACAAATACTTAAAAATAAGTAATTATGAAATAAATACTTATTTCTCAAGCCAATAATCATTGTTTGGCTCTAAAATAAATTATCTCGTGTTAATTATTAGCTAGTCTATCCTGACTGTTCAAACAATGGACTTGACCTTGAAGGCAGACATTCCTATGAAGGGGAAAGGGGTGTCTTCTCAAATCGCCAAGACACAGAAATTCAGAGCGATCTGGTGGCCGGATAGGAAAAGTTAGTCAAGAGCTGTAGTTCACAAGATCAGGATGGTCGAAGAGGAATTAAGTACCCCCATTAGGATTGGATTTGTTCTAATTGATTCCATCATTTAACCCTAAAAAAAAAAAAAAAAAAAAACTGAAGTTTTTGTTAGTTGGGCAGGTCTGTGACAGATGGGAGAATTGAAGTCTAGATTCTTGAACAGTAGAATCCTAACCCTGAAATATAAAATATGAAAAGAAAATTGTGGTTGGGGAATTGGGGTTGGGTGTGTCAACCCCAGTACCCCCACATGGCGCGCTGTAGACTTCGCCCTGATTCCTGTTCATCATTTAAAAAAAACTGATGGTCGCCATTCATGGCTCTTGAGGGACAACGGGACACTTCCAATTCTGAGGAATGGTAGTAAGCAACGAGTGAATGCAGCTCTTGGGATACTACGCCCTACAGATCGAGGTCCTACCTTTTCGGTCAGGGAGAAGAAATTCAAGAGTTGCATTAACTCGTTGCTAGCATTCCTCCCCCATCACTCCATGGAAGGTTAGGTATAGGCGTGTGAACTGACGTGTGCCAAATGGGTTTTCATTCTAATGTGGTATGAGCTTCCCCACATTCCAGGAACCTTACTTGAATCAAAATACTCAATAAGCTAAATTAAAAGTTATGTAATAATAATACTGTATGCAGCTTCTGATTCTCTTGAAATCAGAATTTTTATGGGGTTCTTATTATTTTTTGTTGAAATGCAAGGTGCTTCTTTCTTATTTTGGGGACAATATGATCTCTCTCTCTCTCTCCCTCCTAAATTGTTGTTCTCTTTCTTTACATGGATGATGCAATTCAACAGGAATATTAAAGAAGTATATGAATCTCTAACGAAGCACATAATTCAAACCTTGCAAATTTGCTCCCATATTTAAAATCCAGAAATATGAAAAGTAAATGGCAAGGAACAAAATCTTTATTGAAATTTGAAAATGAAAAAGAAAAAGGCAAGGACAGAGAGGAAAAGCAGAACAGGAGAGAGCTTACACCACATTTTGAGAGAGAGAGAGAGGTAGCATTAGTTCTCCAATTCATAAAAATTCAAACAAATCAAACCCATTAATCTACAAAGGGCAAAAACTGAAACAAAAATCATATAATCTACCAACCCTTGTCATGTCGTTCTGGCTTTTAATTATATCCCAATTCTAAATTTTTTCCTTATCGCATGCTTGTCAATCCAAAGGAAAGAAAAAAAAAAGAAAAACAGGTCTGCATTCCTCTCCTACATATTTACTTGAAGAGGAGAAGGAGGAGGAGAAAAGAATAAGAAGTAGTAGTTAATCAAAGCCACAAGGCCCCAGCTTGTTTCAGAACAGGAATCAAATCACCAGAAATATGAGCACCCATGAGCCGATCCAACCCTCCAAACAACCTTCCTCCGATGAACACGGCCGGGAACTGGGGTCTCCCATGATCCTTATTCCCATCACCAACTGTAGCCAACTCCTCCACCACACGCACTTCATCCGCTTCATCAACCTCACACACAGCTGGGTTCACTCCCAAACCCAGCAACAATCTCTTCATCACATGACACATACAACACCCTCTCTTGCCAAACACTATCACCGCGTTCTCCGACACCATTCCCTTCACACTCTTTCCTGCCAACGACGACGAAGCCTCCTCCATATGAACCGCCGGCGACGCCCGCCCTATTGCGCTCCCAGATGCCCCCACCGGCAGCCAAGCTCTGTATGGAAGTGCCTGCTGCATAACTCAAGTACACAGATAGCTAAAATTTCTATAGAAGAATTGTGGGAGAGAGAGAGAGAGATGTGAGCTGATCCTGCCCTTAACCCGGGGGGACGGAGTAGTAGTTATATATGGAGAGGTAGTCCTGCGTCAACGGCAGTTGCGCATTATTACGCGTCAAATTTGCTGTGGATGACGACCAATCACGTCATTTCTATCCAGTATCTACGTCCACTGACGTGGACTATTTTGTTTTAATTTTTTTTTAATTTAAAACTTTATTAATTAAAAACTAATAATAAAATTAAACGTAGATTTTAGAGTCTACGAGTGGTTTAATATGGAGAGAATTGAGAATTCAGAAATGAATGAGATGATGGTCTAAGGGCGTACGACATCATTGATCAATAAAGCCAAAGGCTGGCTAAAGGGAGATGACAGCCTGCTTAGTTGATAAAGTCTTGTTTGTGTGTTTTGTGTGTTAAAGCTGTAGGCCCGGCCACCGGCCGCCATGGCTGGCCTGCTGCGTTCAGAACTACCGCTCTATCGATCAGTCTTTGAGTGAGTCTATGTCTAATTGTCTATCCCCACCCACATTCAATAAACAAGATCAGTTCAATGTGCCCACTTGGACTAAATTCTTTTCCTCAACACGGATAGCTTGAATTTGTATAAAACATCAAGGAAAATAGACGATAAACCACCAAACACAGTTCATCCAAATTGAGTGTTGCAAGCATGACGTTCTCCCAACACCACCAACCACATCCGCTGATGTTGCAAGCAAAGATTTCCCCCTTTCTACAGAAAAAAAAAAAAAAAAATTCTTGCTTTTTGATTTTGATTTCCTTGCTCTTGCTCTTGCTTGTTGATTTGGTGAAAAAAAGAAGAAAAAGAAAAAGAAAATCTTTCTGTAATATGTAGGTTAGTAAGTTAGATGGAGCTATCAATTATCATCGTCGGTTTAAGTGTTTCCATGAATAACTGTTGCAATGCTAAGCTAGGGTAGCTCTTTCCTTCTTTGTTATTTTCCAACCACCGCCCGTAATGTCTGTGAACTGTGAGTAGATAGTATTCAGTCGTACGACAAGGATCACGTAATGGGTGTGGAACTGTGGATGCCCCCCTTTATTTATTTATTTATTTTAATTAATCGCTACTCACCGGTCTATAGTCCTTCCAACTTGCTTGTCTCCATGAAGAAATATATAGATACGTTTCTTCCATGCATCTACCAAGCCACGAAGCGTAAGGGATTTAGTTTTTGTTTATACTTTATAGATCGCAAGTTGCTCGGTTCCTTCTTATCCAAGAGGGTTGTTCCACTAATGCTATGTTTGGTTTGAAGGAAAACGTAGGAAAATCTATATAAGGTTTGTAAAGATTTTCCTATCTTTCTTTTCTTTTTCTTTTTTCTTTCAAACTAAATACAACCTAAATGAAAGGTGGGTCCTATAGAAAAGAAAGAAACCTGTATTTATGTTTTGGTATTCGTGGGTTTTATGGAAAAGATCGATTTCTAAGCAACTCATTTACTAGACAAGTAATATTCTCTTGAGATTTGGGAAACTTGTTAATGTATAATGAGATAATATTATCCCTTTAATAATGATTGTTTTATAAATAAAATGGTCACTATATATATAACTTTATTGGGAAATAAAAGAACACTGATAAGTACACTTATCTGAATAAATATTTGTTAAGAAATACTTACCCGTAAAGTGTGTTTACCCAAATAAATGATTTACCAAGAAACAAACAATTGAAATGCATTTAATTTATAATTAAGTACAACATTTAGTGTATAATGAGAGTAGCAACAATAACAAAAAATGGTCCACCAATGCCATTATCAAATTTTTATTTCATCATCATCTTCTTCTTCTTCATATAGTTAATATTGTGCATTTAAAAAGTTCAGTGCAAAGGACAGTTTGGGTGGTCCTCTAATGAAATGGACTGGTCCTACACAGCCCAAAACAAGGCCCTATAAAGTAGAACCCTAACTGGTAGAAATCTTGTAGCTAGAGACCCTAATCTTGGCTTTGAAGGCTCCAGTACTCTCCAATGGTTTCAGCCTAAAATCCTCCATACCCAACCTTTTCTTTGTCACGTACGTAGAGCTTTGGAGGATGGTGTAAGGTTAATATGTAAACTTTATTAGACTATTTTCTGCAGGACCACCTCAATAATGAGGTGATGGCCATCTGGCCATGGCCTCTGTGTTTCTTACATTATCATCACGGATCAACAGTGTTGATGACGTGATAATATATAAGGGATTAAATCTAATCAACCTGCAGATATGATAATTATGTTTGATAGTACATGGGCTTAGTTATTGGGATTACTCATTAACCATAACACACTGAATATCTTTATAACTATCTCTCTTTAGGCTTTGAAAACTTACCATTTAGGACCCATTTGGGAGGGCTGATGCTTTGATTGAGTTGCTTTTATCGAACCATTTTAAAGGAACTACTAAAAGACGCTTTACCCAAAAGCCATTTTTTTTTTCACCAAACATAGCTTATAAGCTGTCCCAATGGGGCTCACCTTGAAAAGACAGTAGTCGCTGCATGAAAACTCTCCCAAATAGGCACTTAAATTTACTTCCTTGTTTACAACAGGATTGGTGATATCATTAGTGGCATAATTAGTGTAATATATTCAAGTATGCTTTGTAATCCACAAAGTATTAGATGATTAACTTATAAATCAAGTTAAGAGACCACATCTCTAAGCCATTAAATAAATATAGTTTCAGTTTTGTTGAACAACCAACTTAAAATCATTGCTAAATGAACTCTCCTTCAAGTATCTAAGCATGATGCCATATATGCAGATTTAAACATATTCTTGTTTTACAGAAGGAGACATACAAATCCGGTTATCTTTTAGGAAGGGCTCAGGAAATTTCAGCACCTGCTCAATATATTGATAAAAATGTTTGGCTGTGTAGGATTGAAAAGGACTTTGGGGTATCTTTTCTTGGCAAAATAAAACAGAGCAATAAATGGAATAAAATGGACAACAAATTAGAAACCCCCCAAAACAAACAAGTTGATTCATCATTCTATACAAATCTCATATTAGATTGTTTGCTTCAATTGCATTCCATCTTTTTCTAATTGAGCTTGAAAGAAGAATTAACACGTTTTTCTGATGATTAATACAAGGGGTGTCACTTCCTTTCCTAATTATGGCTAGTGTAAACTGTAAAGGTCCAACACTCACTTTCATCAAAAGAGAATGAAATTATGAATGGGAAAGTTTTGGGGCGTTCGGATAAGCAAAATTGGGCCACAAAGTGTTTTGAGTGTTTGGTATGCGTTACTTTCAAGAGCAAGATAATCTGAAGCCAAATCAACAGTACTTTTAGTTTTAACTTTTAACCCCCAAATCATAAAACCTAAAATAAGGGTTTTGTGCTTTTGGGCTTTGAAAAGGCTTATCCATCCAAACACGACCTTAATTACTAATTCAAAGATCATAACCATACTCCTCTCTTCCAAGAAGCAGCTCACAAATTCAAGAGGCCCAATTACAAAATCAGGAGGTAATTAATTAAGGTCTATTAAGGATGATTGGGCCCGGTTCACAGCTTGGATAATTGCAATTTTTTACTCGGTAGCTTGGTTGTTTTAAATATGCTACACGCCCGCCTCGCCCTCGCCTACACTTCAACATCAAGATTGAAGAAGAGCAGACAAAAAACGCTCCCGGACGGTGCGCAATGCGCACGTAAGCGCAAGGACGGGGCTGGGCCTTACTCGTGCATCTGCACGACGGGATTGTATTTGGAGTGATCTCATCGTGGGCTCCCACCACGTGTCATAGATAATGTCGATCTCTACCTAAGTCTCGCCTGTGTGGTGTGCGCATGTAAAAGATTAGGGTCGACCGGTCCTTGTCCTCCACGTGGCCATTGATGCCATCCCTTCTCACTGCTGACGTTGACATGTCGATGCACCAGTTTAAGTCCACAAGTCACAACCACATGACTCACGGACGTTCGTTTCTAGTCAATTCTCTCTCCCCTATCCTACGACCTACGTTAAACTTCTAACCTTAGTTAAATAAATAACTAGTCGGATCGGACCTGTGCAATGCACGGCTGTTGTCTTTTGTAGAGTTGTCATGAAAAGCTCAATTAGGTTTGGTTTAAGTTTGGGTTTAATGAAATTCAACTTGTGAGGTTCGTGAGCCTAATCAAGTCTAATACATGCATATATAATTTTATATATAATAATAATATTTTTATTTTTATGTATAATAATAAATCATTTTTAAACTTTTAATTATTTATATGTAAAATAAAAAATATTTTTATTTTTTATAAAAAATTTGGCTTACAATCAAGCTCGAACCTACAATCTTTTGAGTTTATCCAAATTCGAGCTCAAGTGTTTAATTCGAATTGAAACAATTCTAACATTATTTTGTGCGATAATCTCTTCAAACGGAGTTGAATTCCACTTCTGCCCTGGTTTTCCAAATTAAGGGGCTGCTTGGCAATTTTGTAAATAAAATTTTCAACAGCCTAAGAAGCATTGAGCTTTTGGTGTTTGATTTGATCTACCGGACTGTTAAAAACAGTTTGAGAAAGCTATTTCACACAGACTATTTGAAGCTTTTCAATTTTCTGCTTTTTCAGTCTTTTCATGCACTCGTCTTCAGGTCTTTGGGTCTATACGTACTTTGGTCTTTTAAACTTCCTACAGACCCAAAAATGCGCCAAACACCATCTTTAAGTCTTGGACTCTTTCTAAGTTTAGGTCTGTCAACAAGTCGTCGGATTAAAATTGGGTATACTCGATCGGAACCGAAACTCCGTCAATCCAAACGCCGCCAGAGGCAAATGGTCATTTTGAAAACCATTGATATACATGAGAAGAATTCAACAACCCAAAGAATTCATTTCTGTTCTCAGTGCATGACCCAAGAATCACCCAAACGGAGGAACAGTGGAAGACCAGAAAAGAAATCGACAAAAATTTTTAAATGATTTCCTTGCATATTTTTCATTTGATGAGAGCATGTTTGTTGGGAAGATGCAACGGGTTTTCCTTTAAATCCTTTTGTTGCACAAATCGTGAC